TTAAATTTGGCCTTTTTAAATTTTAGTTCAAGATTTTTTGTTCATAAAGATCTAAAAGACAAAATGTCGCTGCTGTTCTGTTTGAATTGAGCGTTGCTTGGCTTTCGGCCATTTAGGGGTCCGTCCAGTGCTCTAATATTGGCTGACTTTTACCATTAGCATTTAGCTGTGTCCGGGTGAATCACCATAGACGATAGTGTCATTTTCCATGCTTAAATAATCCAAATAATGTCGCCTTTTCAAACTTCGCCCAATGTTCAAGTGCCTTTAATCACTTTTGTGAGATTCATCTTTTTCTCTCTAAGAGTAATGGTTTTAGTTGATTTCATGATTAAAATGTTTTTAAAAAAAAATGTCGCTTTTCTTTTTCTTTTTCTTTTTCTTTTTTTTTTTTGTTAATTGAGAAATTTCATAAATCAATTAAGTTTTATAAAAATTAATTTAATACACAATACAAACTATTTCAATCATGAGAAAAATAAGAAGTGCAAATTAAAGGAACAAAATGAAAAAATAAAAATAAAAAACAAAAGATTTTTATATAAATATATATATATCAATATATTGTGCTAGCTAGACAAGTGCATTGATCATACTATTTGCTTCATGATGGACATGAGCAAGGAGTGCTTCCTCAATCAGAAGTTCCAACTCTTTGAGGAGGTTCTGAACAAACAATTCTCCAAATAGCTGTCTATGTTTTTAATTTAGTGTAGATAGCTTATCTTTGGAGAATTTATTAATCTTTCATTTTCACTTAAATTTTATTAATAATATTTATTGATAAAGTTGATTAATGACAAATCCTCAAAATAATTACTTAACATTAGCTATCGACTTAAATAATTCAATTATTTCTATCAAAATAATAATAATAATAATTCAATTATATTTTTTTATATTAAAAATAAAAAAAAAATTGAATTTAAAGTCATATAGTATGCAAATAAGATAAATTGAAAAATGAGCAATAATGATCTCCGATTATATAATCTAAAATAAAAATAAAAAATAAAAAAAATAAAAACAATTACCTAACATTAATAGAAGATTTGTTGACATTGACACTTGCGTTTCTTTTTACATATTTATCACAACAAAATTTAGTAATGAATACTATTTTCTTTTTTCTTTTTCTGGAGAATTTAGGAAAATGTGGATAATTTTACATTACAAAACAAGTATTATACTAGTAGATTAAACCCTAACTAATTAAGAATACAAAGGGTGCATTTTGCCACCTCAACTGATGGGGCGGCAACTGCATTATTTTCTTTAGCATTGCTTAGAGAAGAAGAATATGATATAAAAAGAAACTGGGTTTAATTATGATTGTCGGCATTTTAGTGGTGTCCATGGTTGTCACCTTCCGTGTTGGACCAGCGTCCTAAGATACTCTTTCTCACTTGCAAAGTAATGTAATGTGATTTTTTTTCTATAATTAAGAAGTCATGTAGCATGCTGGTTGCATTCATTAATAAAATCATGTGAGTATATGGATAGAATATGGGTGGGACACCTCAAGAAGGTTAGGTGATTTAACTAATCAATTAAGTGGATAGTTTTTCTTTGTCTTAGTCCCAATTAAGGAAAACTACAATAATCTGTTGAACATCTAAAGAAATTCAATAGTAATTGTTTTAGTAAAAGTAAAATATTTTAAATTTAAATTGCATATAACACAAAAACTATACTAGTCTCGAACGCTGCCTCATCCTTTCTACTCAATAACTGAGCTTCATTAGGGCTAGGGGGCCATGGCGCCCCTAAGATTTTGGAAAAAAAATTAATATGTTTAACAAATTTTTATTTTTGGTAGTTTTCATATTTATTTCATTGTTAAAAAACAATTATATTTTTTATACCATTAGATTTTCTATTTGTATTTAGATCATAATTTAGTATTTAATAGTGGCATAATTGAAAATTTTTGAATATTTTGAGTCTATGGATAATGATTTATGAAAGAGTAATGATTCGCGGGACGACGTTGCGGGCTGATTTTGGGGGACGGCAAGTGAAGCAATTCCAACAGCAATTATCAATTTGACCCTGTTTCACTTGTCGTCCCCCAAAATTGTCTCGCAACGTTGTCCCGTGGATCATTACTCTTTATGAAATAGAGTTTCAATTTTATGCAGACAAGTTGGTTTAATTAGTTATCCCAATTTTGATATACTTTTCTTTATTAAGAGCATTTAATTAGTTTGATTTCTTCCATTATTAATTACTTTTATATACAATTGATTTAAGTTATAACAAACTCATGTTTATCATCTTTAGTATTTTGAGTTTAATAATCAAGATACCTTTAAGTCAACTTACACATATCTCAAAATTAATCATTTGTCGATTTAGTAAAAGATGATCTTATAATTTATACTATAGGATATACTTTAAAATGTGACGGAGAATTAAACTTAAAAATAAAAGTAGGGTTAACTTGTTTATCTTGAAATTGAGAGAAAAAAATTTGTGACAAACTTTTAGCAAAAAGAACAAATCTATGTGTGCTGGAAAAAATTTTGTTGGCCCCCCCTAAAATTTTCTCCAAGCTTCGTCCCTGTTTCTACTAAGATTGCCTCATTTATAACACAAGGAAAAAAATGGAAAAGAAAGAATGAGTTGGAAAGTAATTAGGAGTATATTTGGTTTTGGGGAAAAAGATGGGAAGGGAGTGGAGGAGTCCTTTATTTTATTTCCCTCCTCTCCCGGACTCCCCTCTCCTCATTTTGACAAATGAAGAAATTAAAAGAAAAAAAA